ACTAACCTAATCTACCTTATAACTTTCAACTTTTTCTTCTAACGCAACCTAAACAAATTAACTTAACCGTACTTAACCTAACCTAATTAAATATAATTATACTATCAGTTTAAATTTAATTAATTTATCTATTTAGCTTATTTCACTTAACTTGGTAGAAGCGAGGAAGTATTAGAGGAAGTTGAGGTATTCCTTGACACCGGAGTATTAGACTAGGCGGTATAATTTATCACTAGGACTTATCCCTCGACCTGAGCTGAGCTGGGACACACACACACACACGTCGCACCTTTAAATTATTTTTGGACTACTCCTCTTTTTTTTTTTCGTCGTCTCAGAATTCTCTTTAAAAAAAATCTCCAACGCTGTGTACCTGAACGATGGTCATCCAAGTTTGTGGAGATTTTCTTCAAGTTTATTCAAGAGTAAAACTGGTTCGCTTTTTGCTCGGGTAACGTCACTAACTTTGGTTGTCTAGAGTTAAGTTTGACCACAAGAGTTTGGCGGTCCCAGAAACCCTGCGCCAGCCACCACGGCTTACTGCTAGTATGAGCCAGCCTGCACCCCTTACTGAGAGTATGAGTCAACCTGCACCCCTTACTGAGAGTATGAATCAGCCTGTACGTGCCTGTGCTCATGTGTACAGTCAACCAAAGATGCACTGACCCCACCCTGGGTCTCGTACTCGCAAATTTACGTGGCAATACTTGGTAAAGTAAGGTCGTATGTGATGGTGATTGTGATTGGTGAATCTATTTTCGGCTGTATCACTGTCAGTTCTTGTGTCTATTATCTTATGAAAGCGACAACTCAAGAAAATAAAAATGGATTTCGGTGAATCTTGGTAGGTGGTTGTGACTCACCAAGACGCCGAGCTGTTGCCTTAATCCTTTAACTTCCTTCCATGAGTTTCCTTGACCGCCGTAGGGACCCTTGAAATCAATCTTGGGACCACCTGAGGATTCACCCCCCCAGCCTATTCCACCTGAAGATTAACCACCTGGGCACTACCTAGGGGGGTTAGGTTAAGTTCGGGTAGATTGGGCTTGTTTAGGTTAGGTTAGGAGTAAGTTAGATTAGGTTAGGTTATATTAGGTTAGGTTATATTAGGTTAGATTAGAGTAGGTTAGATTAGAGTAGGTGAAGGTACGTTAGGTTTGGTTTGGTTTGGTTGGGATAGGTTAGGTTAGGATAGGTTAGTATCAGGGATAGTTAATATTAAGGTAATCCCAATTTTCCTTTTTATTTATTAACATGTGTGTGGAAATGTGTTCCTTAATTATCATAATTTTCTACTGTTTATTATATAGTTGATGGGGGTTTAGAAGTGCAGGTTAGGTTAGGTTAGGTTGCTATGTTAGGTGAGGTTTGATTAGGTTAATTTAGGTTATGATATGTAATGGTACGTTATGTTTGGTCATATATGTTATGTTGTTATATGTTCTGTTATGTTACGTCTTTTTTTTTTTTTTTTGCGTTAGGCTAGGAGGCCGGGGCCACGCCCTAAGAGACGAAGTCGATACCGAGTTGTGTACCCTTGGGAGACTCCCCTCCTTCCCTGCAGCCGAAGAGAATATTAATGTGTAGATGCTGGGAGTTCTCTGTCTGATCTACACTTTGACAACTGTAGGGTATATGTAGAATGAGGTGTAGGTTATATGTAGGTTATAGCAGGTTGTATGTGGAATGAGTTGCAGGTAATACATAGGATATATAAGGGATGAGTAAGAGTTGCAATATGGTTATAGACGGTAAAAAACACACAGAAGTCACTTTCATTGTGCTGTGTGAGGTTAAGATTTAGTGAACGGTGCATACTGACCCTGGCGGATGAAATTTTGAATTACATAAAACAACAAACGGTCAGGTTGGAGGATGATCGTGTGTGTGCGCGCGCGCGCGCGCGGAGTTTCAACAGTAGGTTACTCTGAAGAATGAATGAGAAAGTTGGTTCCATAGCCATGACTGTCTGTTACGGACAGTGTGGATACAGCACACTGTATACTAAGCCTTCAGTACACAAGGAGGCAGCATGACCGGTACTGAACGCTCCCGCATCCTTTTTCCAAGTTGTACACTCACCTCATTCTACATTATAACCTGCACCTCATTCTACATATAACCTACATCACATTCTACATATAATCTACACCACATTCTACATATAACTTACACCACATTCTACATATAACCTACACTTCATTCTACATATATCCTACACTTCATTCTACTTATAACCTACACCACATTCTACATATAACCTACACTTCATTCTACATATATCCTACACTTCATTCTACTTATAACCTACACCTCATTCTACATATAACTTACACCACATTCTACATATAACCTACACCTCATTCTACATATAACCTACACCACATTCTACATATAACCTACACTTCATTCTACATATATCCTACACTTCATTCTACTTATAACCTACACCACATTCTACATATAACCTACACTTCATTCTACATATATCCTACACCTCATTCTACATATAACCTACACCTCATTCTACATATATCCTACACTTCATTCTACATATAACCTACACCACATTCTACATATAACCTACACCACATTCTACATATATCCTACACTTCATTCTACATATAACCTACACCACATTCTACATATAACCTACACCACATTCTACATATAACCTACACTTCATTCTACATAACCTACACCACATTCTACATATAACACTTCATTCTACATATAACCTACACCACATTCTACATATAACCTACACCACATTCTGTATATGTATACACCTACATATACACTACACCATACCTACACCACATTCTGTATATAACCTACACTTCATTCTACATATATCCTACACATTCTACACATAAGCTACACCTCATTCTACATATAACCTACACCACATTCTACATATAACCTACACCACATTCTGTATATAACCTACACTTCATTCTACATATAACCTACACCACATTCTACATATAACCTACACTTCATTCTACATATAACCTACACCACATTCTACATATAACCTACACCACATTCTGTATATAACCTACACTTCATTCTACATATATCCTACACCTCATTCTACACATAAGCTACACCTCATTCTACATATAACCTACACCTCATTCTACACATAACCTACACCACATTCTGCATATAACTTACACCACATTCTACATATAACCTACACCACATTCTTCAAGTACCCATTTACAGCTGGGTGATCGAACCACCGACCCATGGAACAAGCGATGTATCCACTGAACCGCTCTACACTATCGTAACCCATTCTATACCTAACCCTCCCAGGTAATGTTACGGAGTTAAATTATCAAGTGAAATAAGCTAAGGGGCTAGTCTTCAGGTGATCCCAACAGTGCATTATTGACAGGCAGTAGAGCAGCGAGTTTAATTTCTTCATAATATTGATCTTTAAAGTGATAGTAGCGTATCAGTTCGCCTCTTTTATTAAGTAAGGCTGGCAATAAGGCGTGCACGTTCCCTTCGGCCCCACAGTATAGCCCAAGAAGCCATAACTATGTACAATAATGAAGAAAAAAATCCAGATTATCGAATTCATCTGAGGTCTATATTATCATGACACACCTAAACAAACTGTCTATTCTGGTATGATTGAGTTACTATATTTACAACTCCTGAACAAAGGAGGGAAGGTCACACGTACACAAGACACACACAAAAAACGAATTACATTAAGATTAGACACCCTAGTTTATTTCACCTTAAGATTAACTACCCTAACGCTACCTGGGAGAAAAGGTTAGGTTAAGTGAAGTCAAATCAAGTCAAGTTAGGTTAGGTTAGGTTAGGTTAGGTTAGGTTAGGTTAGGTTAGGTTAGGTTAGGTTAGGTTAGGTTAGGTTAGGTTAGGTTAGGTTAGGTTAGGTTAGGTTAGAATGTTTAACCAACAGTTGAAATAAGCTGGGTTTGCCTAATCTTCAGGTGACCCCCCCATAAATTTTGACTTTCTCTTCAGTATTCGTCTTCGCCCTCCTATCACCTCTTCAGTCTCCCTAAAAGTCACGTCCACCAACCCTGGATTACTTCTCTCACACCTGGCCTTGGAGGTATCCTTCCTCATTGTCCCGCCCCGACGGAAGACAATCTTAATACATTCACTTCAACGAAATCCAACCCTCACTTTTAGTCCTCTCTGCTCTATATACTTTTCCAGGTTCACCCTTTCCTTACTCAGCTGTCATGATTGCAAGAATATAATTTCAGTCATTGCCTTACGTCATTTCGAACCTGGATACTGTTCTTGAGCCTTCGATGTTTAGCCAAAGAAGAGAGAGAGAGAGAGAGAGAGAGAGAGAGAGAGAGAGAGAGAGAGAGAGAGAGGTATTTCGGCAAAAACAAGAGTTCCCTCGAGTAAAGTAATTAGCTGAGGTGAGTTTACGTATAGGAACAATTTTGTCGGCGCTGCTGGAGACGCTGTGAATTGAATACACTTTTCAGGACTGATTTCTCTACATTATTTTGAGACTCGTAAGGATTCGTGGGCGTGAGTATCAAGATGAGAAGGGTTGAACACACACACACACACACACAACATGTGCTATACAACATGTGTTATACATCATGTGCTATTCAATGTGTGGTGTATATTTGGTGTACAACATTGTGCAACCTGTGGTATATAATATGTGCTATACAGCATATGTTATACAACATGTGTTATACAACATGTGTTATGCAACATGTGTTATGCAACATGTGCTGTACAGCTTACGTTATACAACATGTGCCATACAGCATGTACTATACAACATACCTGTATAGTGTACTGTACAGCGGGAAGCCAGACCACAACATTAACATGCAAGTAAGGGCAGCCGGGGATTACAGGATAGAGCTGAGAGGATAAACTTACCATAAACTCATAATGTTCAGCTTTGTGGCCGACACACTTAAAGCTCCTTATCACAACTTTGTTTAATTAACCTGCTCTTGTTCCCTCTGTAGCTTCGACGACGCTTGTGCTCTGTATCGTGGCTCTGTGGCTCCTGCGCTCTATATCTTAAAGGTCGGTGGCACTACCACACACTAGGTACACCTCCGCACACTGAGGCACTACAACACACTAAGTACACCTCCTCACACTGAAGCACTATAACACACTAGGTACACTTCCACACACTGAGGCACTACAACACACGAAATACCCGCCCACATACTGAAGCAACACTATAATAACAATCCCCCTTGCAAGTATTAAGAATTAGCCGTCAATAAGTAAAGAAATACATAAAGACATTGAAACTGACAAGATCCAGTGTTCAGTCTCTCTAAGTTTCTTACGTTAATATGTCTATTTTAAGTTATGACATTATTTCTAGTTAAGGTAAAGTCTCGGTGAAATTTTGATGCAATACTTGGGATGTGATGTTTTTTATTTAGCTTCGGTATATATGCTAGCTGGGCATATTCTTGTGTCTATAGTTGTACGGGGAAAATTTATATTATGAACCTTTGAGAATCCGAATGCAAGATATGTTACGTTACATTACGGTGAGGTTAGTTTAGTTTAGTTTGTTACGTTACATTACGCTATATATCTCTCACTCAGTAACGTGTTTACTAAATAACACATAGAGGACCTAAAGTGACGGACGGACAGATAGCATTTCCAGGCTCCTTTCCCTTTTTAAAACGAGGAGAGCTAAGGGTGTGTGACAGGCCTTTTTGAGTGGGTGTAGTAAGGAAGTCGTGGTGGGGTATTTAGTTACATACTTCGCCCAGAACCTTGGTTAAAATACTCGTGTATAACTTTTAATAATTTTAGTTTCGAGGTATTTTACAAAAAAAATAAAAAAATTACACTATTTTGTCAGTTATTTTAATATAAGTTTGGGAGAGAGAGAGAGAGAGAGAGAGAGAGATGATTATTAGCTGCACCACATAATGTAAAGATTTATATCGAAATATCTAGACCGATGAGAAGAGTAAACAAACTCCTGGAATTATAACAAAAACAAAATATACGAGTCAGCTAAGAGTAAATTGTCTCTAAAATCTCAATTAAATAGAAAAAGAAAGATAAAAGCTATAGAATAAATGGCTGAAGCAGAGACCCACAGCGAGAGAGATGTACACGGAGGGAGGGGAAGAGAGAACGTCAATAGATGGCAAAAGGGGTGACGAGGGAAAAGAACTCTGGAGTTGTAAGTCAGAACAGATGGCGGGAGGGAGCGAGAACTGCACCAATAACACTGCCTGGCGTAAGAGTGCATGTGTAAACAGTGAGATGGTGCTGGCGTAAGAGTGCGTGTGTGAACAGTGAGATGGTGCTGGTGGAAGAATGCATGTGTAAACAGTGAGATGGTGCTGGCATAAGAGTGCGTGTGTGAACAGTGAGATGGTGCTGGCGGAAGAGTGCGTGTGTGAACAGTGAGATGGTGCTGGCGTAAGAGTGCGTGTGTAAACAGTGAGATGGTGCTGGCGTGAGAGTGCGTGTGTGAACGGTGAGATGGTGCTGGCGTAAGAGTGCGTGTGTAAACAGTGAGATGGTGCTGGCGTGAGAGTGCGTGTGTAAACAGTGAGATGGTGCTGGCGTAAGAGTGCGTGTGTGAACAGTGAGATGGTGCTGGCGTAAGAGGTGCTGGCGTAAGGTGCGTAAACAGTGAGATGGTGCTGGCATAAAGTGCGTGTGTAAACGGTGAGATGGTGCTGGTGTAGAGTGCGTGTGTAAACAGTGAGATGGTGCTGGCGTAAGAGTGCGTGTGTAAACGGTGAGATGGTGCTGGTGTAGAGTGCGTGTGTAAACAGTGAGATGGTGCTGGCGTAAAGTGCGTGTGTGAACAGTGAGATGGTGCTGGCGTAAGAGTGCGTGTGTAAACGGTGAGATGGTGCTGGCGTAAGAGTGCATGAGTAAACGGTGAGATGGTGCTGACGTAGAGTGCGTGTGTAAACAGTGAGATGGTGCTGGCGTAAGAGTGCGTGTGTAAACAGTGAGATGGTGCTGGTGAAGTGCGTGTGTAAACAGTGAGATGGTGCTGGTGTAAGTGCGTGTGTAAACAGTGAGATGGTGCTGGCGTAGAGTGCGTGTGTGAACAGTGAGACGGTGCTGGCATAAGAGTGCGCGTGTGTAAACAGTGAGATGATGCTGGCATAAGGTGCATGTGTAAACGGTGAGATGGTGCTGCCGTAAAGTGCGTGTGTAAACAGTGAATGGTGCTGGCGTAAGAGTGCGTGTGTAAACAGTGAGATGGTGCTGGCAAAAGAGTGTGTAAACAGTGAGATGGTGCTGGCGTAAAGGTGCGTGTGTAAACAGTGAGACGGTGCTGGCGTAAGAGTGCGTGTGTAAACGGTGAGATGGTGCTGGCGTAAAGTGCGTGTGTAAACGGTGAGATGGTGCTGACGTAAGAGTGCGTGTGTGGCGGTGAGATGGTGCTGGCGTAAGAGTGCGTGTGTAAACGTGGTGCTGGCGTAAGAGTGCATGTGTAAACAGTGAGATGGTGCTGGCGTAAAATGCGTGTGTAAACAGTGAGATGGTGCTGACGTAAGAGTGCGTGTGTAAACAGTGAGATGGTGCTGGCATAGAGTGCGTGTGTAAACAGTGAGATGGTGCTGGGTAATGCGTGTGTAAACAGTGAGATGGTGCTGACGTAAGAGTGCATGTGTAAACAGTGAGATGGTGCTGGCATAAGAGTGCGTGTGTAAACAGTGAGATGGTGCTGGCGTAAGAGTGCGTGTTTAAACAGTGAGATGGTGCTGGGATAAGGGTGCGTGTGTAAACAGTGAGATGGTGCTGGCATAAGGGTGCGTGTTTAAACAGTGAGATGATGCTGGGATAAGGGTGCGTGTGTAAACAGTGAGATGGTGCTGGGATAAGGGTGCGTGTGTAAGTGACTGGCATAAGAAACAGTGAGATGGTGCTGGCGTAAGGTGCGTATTGTAAACGGTGAGATGGTGCTGGTGGAAGAGTGCATGTGTAAACAGTGAGATGGTGCTGGCGTAAGAGTGCGTGTGTAAACATGAATGGTGCTGGCAAGAGTGCGTGTGTAAACAGTGAGATGGTGCTGGCGTAAGAGTGCGTGTGTAAACAGTGAATGGTACTGGGATAAGGGTGAGTGTGTAAACAGTGAGATGGTGCTGGCATAAGGGTGCGTGTGTAAATAGTGAGATGGTGCTGGGATAAAGGTGCGTGTTTAAACAGTGAGATGATGCTGGGATAAGGGTGCGTGTGTAAACAGTGAGATGGTGCTGGCATAGCATAAGGGTGAGTGTGTAAACAGTGAAATGGTGCTAGGATAAGGGTGAGTGTGTAAACAATGATTTGGCGCTGAGAGAAGGGAGCACATGTGAGTGATGGTGCCAGTATAAGGGAGCATATGGGAGTGACGGTGCCAGTATAAGGGAGCATGTGGGAGTGACGGTGCCAGTATAAGGGAGCATGTGGGAGTGACGGTGCCAGTACAAGGGAGCATGTGGGAGTGATGGTGCCAGTATAAGGGAGCATGTGTGAGTTTCCAGTATAAGGGGCATGTGGGAGTGCAGTGCAGTATACAAGGGGAGCATGTGGGGAGTGATGGTGCCAGTATAAGGGACATGTGTGGGTGACGATGCCAGTATAAGGGGAGCATGTGGGGTGATGGTGCAGTATAAGGGACATGTGTGGTGACGATGCCAGTATAAGGGCATATGGGAGTGACGGTGCCAGTATAAAGGGACATATGTGGGTGACGGTGCCAGTTAAAGGGGCATGTGGGAGTGATGGTGCCAGTATAAAGGAAATGTGTGGGTGACGGTGCTAGTATAAGGGGCATGTGGGAGTGACAGTGCCAGTATAAAGGACATGTGTGAGTGACTGTGCCAGTATAAGGGAGCATGTGGGGAGTGATGGTGCCAGTATAAGGGACATGTGTGGTGACTGTGCCAGTATAAGGGGAGCATGTGGGAGTGATGGTGCCAGTATAAGGGAGCATGTGTGAGTGACGGTGCCAGTATAAGGGAGCATGTGGGAGTGATGGTGCCAGTATAAGGGAGCATGTGTGAGTGACGGTGCCAGTATAAGGGAGCATGTGGGAGTGATGGTGCCAGTATAAGGGACATGTGTGAGTGACTGTGCCAGTATAAGGGACATGTGTGGGTGACGGTTCCAGTATAAGGGAGCATGTGTGAGTGACGGTGCCAGTATAAGGGAACGTGTGTAAACAGCAATGACTTCCTGTGTTTGGTCTTGAAACAGGAGGGCGACATCTGGTGGTAAGTGTGTCATACTATCGTCTTCATGTAGCCGATTAGTACTCACAGCGTGGCTCTATATAACACTTATACACTGATGCTTCAACTACGTCATTAGTAAAGTAGACGCGTGTAAGAAATCATTAGAAGAAGTTTATTTAAAGAAGTTGGTATTCACTAGAGTTAGTTGTGTCAATATTCACTAGTTAGTTTACTTTAAGATGTATCAGTATTTACTAGAGATAATTTACTTTGGTCAGTTATCAAGGCCTTACGATACGACTTACGTGAATTATAGTGATGGATTGTAGACACATTTGGATCACCCAAAGAATTAGACACCCCAGGTAATTTCATCTGAAAAGTAACCACCCTAACGCTAACCTAACCTAACCTAACCGAACCTAACCTAACCTACCCCTCCTCTGAATAACGTTAGGGTGGTTAATTTTCAGATGAAAAAAGCTGGAATTTCTAATCTTCAGGTGATCTATACCAAATATATAGTGTGTTCTCTTTTATTCTTATCTAGAAACGCTTTGTGGAGAACTTTCACCTACACTAGTATGATTAAGTCATCTTAGAGAGAAGTGTGTGTGTGTGTGTGTGTGTGTGTGTGTGTGTGTGTGTGTGTGTGTGTGTGAGTGAGTGAATAGTGCTACGGATGGAGGAAGATGAGGAGAGGTCCCCAACTAGGAAGGGAAGAAGGTTGTGGTGACTGAAGTAGAGTGGTGGAGAGGTTGGTTGCCTGGAGGTCAGGAAGGTGGAGTAAATTGAGGAGGCCACCACCAGAGTGCCGGAGGAGCACCAGCTGGAGCGTACATAATGTGGACGTGACTA